CTCTAGACTAATGAAAAATGAGCTTTTAGATTGGTTTCAATTACCTTTTTGAGGTAGCCGCTGGGGGTATTTATAGGCCTTCGTGAGATGTCCACGTGGCTTGCTTAACAAGATAATCAGAGTGTGACGTGTCCCTTCAGGCAGTAATTTCGAGACCGAGAAATTTTGTATGACAAATCAGGTGTGGGCATGTCCACTGTATTTATCATGTAACGATTTGACCGGGAAGTGTTGGATTTAACTTTACTTCGGCTATTAAAGTATTGTAGCAGTACGTCCAAGGTTAAGGACCTCAGACCTATCCTTACACTATTCCCCCTCGAAATCATTTACTTGTGAATGATGTTGTTAGAGATAATGGGATTAGTACATAAATAGGTGAAAAAAGGAATGAAAAAATATCAAAGATGAGTTACTGAAGTTAAGATAAAAATTGGTAACTCAAATTTTTGTATGGCTGTGACTAATAGTAGAATATGTGACACGAGGTCAGTGGGGGTATTCCCAAAGTATGTGACACGGGATTACAATGGCTAGAGTAATGACTGAAGTCATTGTGATCGGGGTCGTAATAAAAAGTAATGACCGGAGGCATTGTAGCCGGAGCCACGGTAAGAAGTAATGACCGGAGCCTAAGAGAAAAGTAATGACCGGGGTCATTGTAGCCAGAGCCGTAGTAAAAAGTAATGACCAAAGTCATTGTGGTCAGAGCGAAGTAAAAAAGTAATGACCGAAGTCATTGTGGCCGGAGCGAAGTAAAAAAGTAATGACCGAAGTCATTGTGGCCGGAGCGAAGTAAAAAAGTAATGACCGAAGTCATTGTGGCCGGAGTTGAAGTAAAAAAGTAATGACCAGAGTCATTGTGGCTGGAGCCGTAGTAAAAGTAATGACCAGAGTCACAGTGGCCGAAGTCCAAGTAGAAAAGTCATGACTGGGGTCATTGTGGTTGTAGCTGTAATAGAAAAGTAATGACTGGGGTCATTGTGGCTGGAGTCGTACTAAAAGTAATGACTGGAGCCATTGTGGCCGGAGCTGTAGTAAAATATGTGACATGGGGTCACTATAGCCGTAACCGAAGTAAAATACTTGTAAAATTGAAAAATATTATTGTGAAAGTGAGCAGAAGTGTTGAGTTGGGTTTAATTGGGCCCGTTTAAAAAGTTTGATGCAGGATTAGTACGTGACATGACAGTTGTTTGTTGAAAGACGTGTACAATAAATACGGGCTGAAAAAAGTAACTACTATAGTTAAACAGACGGAATGGAAAATGAACCGTCGAATTCGAGAGGCTCCCATTAGGGTTTAACCTTTGAATTCAAAACGGTGTGAATTGTGATCGTCAGATTAAATTAATCACAACCGTTGAGATATATTTTTGCTTTGTGGTATATATAGCCACATTTCTGTAAAAAGAGTTTTACTTTCATTACATTTTCTACGAAATTGTTGCCAAAACTCTACTGTGTTCTTCTTGCATCTGAACTGTTGCATCCTTTGTGGGCTTTTACATCAATCGTTCAAGACCAAGATCAGGTAACGTATGACTTTTGGTGATTTAGATTTCAAAGTGTGTTTTCTTCTACTTCATCTTTTTTTATTTAGATCTAAGTCCTTTGAAGGAAGTTAGGTTTAGAAGTACGAGTAACAGTGAGTGTGAGTGAAAATTTTTGTAGATCCTGACTTCATTTTCTCCCTCTCCTTTCTCAACTGTATGTAGTGAAAGTTACAAACTTTGAAGAGATGTCTTCTAAAGAAACGGTGAACTTTGGGGGAAGTGAGGAAATGAGGGCGTTGGAATATGGTGACGCGGGTATGATCAGTGAGTCGTCTGATTCGGAGAGGATGGAGGAGGGGGTAGGAAGGAGTGAAATGGTTGGGGTAGAGGGAGATAGGGTGCCTATCACCGTAGTAGAAGTGGAGGGTAGGAATGAGAGGTTATGATGTGGATGTAGAGATTGTGTCTGAGGTGAGGCAGTATGAGTCCGAACTCGGGACTAGGGATAGCTTGGGTTATTTAGTTGAGAGTTATGAAATTTCTTCCAGAGTTTTGATTAGGCCTGCTAGGGTAAAGGAAAGGGCATGTTCAGCACCTTGGGATCATTGGATGCCCATGTATACTCATTATTTGGCAGCTGGGCTTAGGTTTCCAATTCCTGAGTTGCTAGTAGGTTTACTATTAGATTATAATATAGGGTTGACACAATTAGTCCCCAATGCTATGAGGGTAATAATAGGGTCTTTAGTTTATTACCGAGCTTAGGGGGTTAATGTGCCAATTGTGAATATGTTTAAATATTTTTTTGTTTGAAGGGGGTAGTAGAAAGGACAAGGGGTGATATTATTTCACCCTTAGAGTGTCCAATAAGGAGAGTAGGGGTTTATTTACTACGGGTCATTCATCCATTAAAGGATGGAAGGAGAAATTTTTCTTTGTAGCTGACACAGAGTGGGAGAAGAGGGATGCCGAAGTAGAACTGTTGTCATCTTGGAAGGCTAAGAAAGCCAACCAAAATAAATACAGTTTAAATGAGGATGAGGAGGAAGAGGTAGGGAAGTTGGTGAGGGAGGGGGGTAAGTTAGCTAACATAATGTACCTTACCAGCGCAGAATGTATAAAGGCTGCTGAGCTCTATAGGCCAAGCGCTTTGAGTGAAGGTGTGTTTAGATTTTATATTGTAGTGTTTGATGTGGAGGATAGAGTTGTGTTGTTGACACTTTGTTTTAATTGTTTTGTAGCTGAGATGGATAAATTCTTGAACGCTGCTGGGGGGGTGGCTATTCCAAAGAAGCCGAGGAAGAAGTTAAAGACTTCAACCAAGGAAGCGAGGAAGGTGGGGTCTGGGAAGGAGTTAGTGCCCAACACCTTAGCTGGAGTGGAAGAGGTGGGGCCCAGTCCGAAGCTGAGAAGGAAAAGTAGTGACGAGCTAAGGGCACTGTAGAAAAAGAGAAGGGTGGTGGAGTAGGAGGTTGGGGGGAATGAGGTTCTCCAGTTCGTACCTCGGCCCCTTCCTGTTGAGCTCAATCCTCAGCTCAGAGAGTCTGAGGCTGAGGGGGCTGAGGTAAGGGCTTTTGGCAAAGGGAAAGGCCTCGTTCCCCCTTTGTCCTTTCAGAGCAGCCTCTTTGACGTGAAGAACGCAACGGGGGCAAAGAGGTTTATTACGCAACCTTCCCCGAAATGGGCAAGCGTCAAGCTAAAGAAGAGGTGCTGAAGTACTGTGAGGCCATTGTGGTGAAGCACACTCTGGAGATATGTTAAGTTGGTTTATATGTGATTGTTGTTGTGTTTTTTTTTTTTTTAACCTCTGATGGAATTGCAAAGTGCAAGCTGGGTAAATGCTCTCACCAAGGAGTTTATGGAGAGTGTGAAGGATCGTTCTCTCCTTTAGAGGCAGTGTGGGCAGTTGCAGAAGGAGAAGGATGAACTGGAGAAAAAGAATAAGGACCTACATGAGGCGCTAGATAAGGTGGTACTAGCAATGAAGCAGCTTGAGTAAGAAAAGGATTCTCTGAGTACCAAGCTCGTCTTTGAAGAGAGAAAGAGAAAGATCTCTGAAAGCGAGCGTGAGGTTCATAAGAAGGAGATAAAAGCAATGAAAGAAATTGTGGTTGAGCTGAAGAAGAATGTTCAGCTGTTGGTACACAACGGAATGGAGGAGCACATCAGCAACTTCGTTAACTCCAGCTTGTTTGACAACATTGTCAACCTCTACTCGATGCCAACTGCTATTCTCGCCTTTACCGATTGCAGAAAGAAGGTGAAAGCTGAATACCCTGAAGTGGATATTACGAAGATCACCTTCGGCGAACAAGAGGAAGGGGTGGAGGAAAACGATGAGAGCATGTCAGCAGACTTCTGTCCTCAAATTAAACTGAGGTGGGATCATGACGTAGAAAGGCGCATCATTTTTCCTCAAATTTCAACTTTGAGTTCGTGGCAATGGAGGAAGAAGAAGCAGAGGTAAAGGGAGCTGAAGTAGGAGAAAAGGTAGAAGGAGCTGAAGTGGAGGAGAGCTAGCCACCTCTGCAAGTGGAGGTCCATCCAGTTCCTTCTGATGACGAGCAGCCACCTCTTCCAACCGAGCAGCAGCCACCTCAACCATCTCCCCCAGCAGAATAATTTTTTGTTTTTTGATATTTTTATTTTGATAATATTGAAACAATTTGATAATTTGAACAATTTGTAATTTTCATTGTGATTTTAATGAAAATTTTTGTTTTTGAATTTATGTGTAATACTCGCTTTTGTGCTTTATTTGTTTTATATTAGTCATAAAAACTTAGATAAAGTAAATCACTTTGGATATGAACTGAAAAGAAGTAAATCACTTCGCATGCAAAGTGAAATTCATTAATAAAAGTGAATTCCAATTAATAAACAGATTGACCTTGGGTATACAGAATAAGAGATGAAATGAATCTAAAAAATGAGGAAGTAATAAGTATAAAGAAGGATAAGGCATAGATCACTTGAAAAAAGTTTATTAAGGATAAAATTTCTTCAAGTTATTAATATTCCAAACTCTAGGAACTCTTTTCTCTTCAGCGTCTTGGAGGATATAGGCGCCAAGATGTGGCACTTCGGCCACTGTATAAGGGCCTTCCCAATTTGGGGTCAGTTTGTCAAAACGAGTTTCAAACCCTATTAGACCAGCCTTTCTGAGAACAAGGTCTCCTACTTTGAATGTTCGAGGGCGGACTCGTTTGTTGTAGAAGTTGGCTAATTTTTGTTTGTATACTAGAGTTTGAAGTCAAGCTCCTTCTCTAACCTCGCAAGCAGATCAAGGTTTTCTCGAAACAGTTGTCCATTTTCTCCTTCATCGAAATGGGTTACCTTGAAGCTTGGAACTCTTATTTCAATAGGAATAACTGCTTCGGTACCAAAGGCCAGGTGGTAGGGTGTTTCACCTATTTCATTAAATTATAGTCTTTAGAATATGTTTTATATATTGTGCATATTTGATCTAGGGTAAAACTACAGGTGAGGAAGTAAAATAAAATGAAAGTAACTTTGGGTTGGAAATATTACCTATGGCAGTTCGCCTCGTTGTTCTATATGCCCATAGGATGTTGTTGAGTTCGTCTACCCACCTAGCCTTGTGTTGTTCCAACCTCGGCTTTATTCCTTCCAGGATAGCTTTATTAACAGATGTGACCATACCATTGGACTCTGGATGGTATACATAGGTAAATTGTAGTTTGATCCCGTAATTAGAGCAGAATTCCCTGAATGAAGAGTAGTTAAACTGGGTATCATTATCAGTTACAATCTAATTTGAGATTCCATATCTACAGATGATTGAGCTGAAAACGAAGTCTTCGATCTTTTTAGAGGTAAGACTGGATCATGGCCGAGCTTCAACCCATTTCGTAAAATAATTAACCCCAACAATCAGATGGGTTACACTTTCAACCCCTTTCATGAATGGGCCCAAAAGATCAAGTCCCCATTGAGCAAATGGCCATGGTGCTATCAAGTTGGTGAGCTCTTCTGTCGGTCGGTAAGTCAGATGTGCGAAAAATTGGCACTTCGGGCATCTCTGAACAAAGTGAGTAGCATCTTTATACATATTCGGCCAGTAATATCCTTGTCTGAGGACTTTGTGAGCCAGGGTTCTAGCACTAACGTGGCTTCCACATACACCTTCATGCATCTCCCGAATTGCATTCTCAGCTTCATAAGGATTCAAACATCGTAGAAGAGGGAGTGAGAAAGATCTCTTATAGAGGACTCCATCGACGAGTGTATATTGAGATGCTTTCTTCCTCAACCTCATTGCCTGTTGCTTGTCTTCAGGCACTAACCTGTCTTGTAAAAAGGAGGTAATGGGATCTGTCGAGCTCGGTGTATCCGGGTCTATGCTGATCTCCATCATTCTTGGCTTCATGAAGCTTGCTTCATCTGGAACTTCCACGAAAACTGATTTTGAGCTTAAGGAGCCATCAGAGGCGAACTTGAAAAGCGAATCTGCCTGTTCATTCTTACTTCTGGGAATCTTACTCAAACAAAACTTCTAGAACTCGCACTTCAGCTCGGCCACCAAGGCTACATATTTTGTCATGACATGATCAACAACTTCACAGACTGAGTTAACTTCATTAACCACAAGCTACGAGTCATTGTAAGGTTGTATTGCCGTGACTTTTAGCTCCAATGCTAGCTGTAAACCAAGTAGCAGAGCTTCATACTCAGCCATGTTATTAGTTGCATCAAAGTTAAATTTCAAAGCATGCTCACTTCGATATCCATCCGGGCTAATTAAGAAAGCACCAGCTCCTGATTCCTTGCTACTAGATGCTCCATCAACATATAAGGTTCAGTCACTTAGCTTGGGGTTAGGGTTTAGGTGACATGGGGTGCATTCCACGATGAAATTCGCCAGTGCTTGGGCTCGGATCGTAGACTTCTGCTGAAATGTTATCTCGAATTTCCCCAGTTCTACTGCCCACTTAATTAACCTTTCGGAGCACTCTAGCTTCTAAAGGATCTGTCGAAAAGGTTGGTCTGTGAGGATTATAATTGGATGTGACTGGAAATACGATCCCAATTTTCTGGCCAAAGTAATAATTGCCAGCGCTGCTTTTTCAGCAATAGGGTACCTTAATTTTGCTCCATGCAGCACACTATTGATATAATATGCTGGTTTCTACGGTTTGCCTTCTTTTCTCACCAGCATTGAACTGATTGCTTCATCAGAAATATTGAGGTACAAATAAAGAATTTCTCCCTCCATAGCCTTTGTCAGCAGAGGTGGTGAACTAAGATAAGACTTCAACTCATCAAATGCAGCTTGGCACTCTTGGTTCCATTCAAACTTCTTTTGTTTGCCAGATTCATCCTTCTGGGCTACTGATCGCATGATCTTGAAGAATGGCAGGCACTTATCTACTGACTTTGAAATGAATCTGTGAAAAGCTGCCACCTTCTTAATTAATCTGTGTGTGTCTTTTACCGACTTTGGTGGTTCCATCTCGGCTATTGCTTTGATCTTTTTCAAGTTAACCTCAATCCCCCTCTGACAAACCATGAAGCCTAGAAATTTCCCAGATTCTACGCTGAAGATGCATTTTGCTGGATTCAACCGCATTTTGTTCCTTTTGAGGTTATTGAATGTTTCACCGAGGTCGGCTAGATGATCTTCTGCCTTTAGGCTCTTCACCATGATGTCGTCCACATAAACCTCTAGGTTCTTGCCGATCTAGGCTCAGAAGACAATGGTCACCATTTTCTGGTAAGTGGCACCTGCGTTCTTTAAGCCAAAGGGCATCATGACATAGCAATAAATTTCGTCACCAGCATAAAACGAGGTTTTCTCTTTTTCCTCCGGAGCCATCGGCACTTGGTGATAACCAGAATATGCATCCAAGAGACTTAATCTCTCATTTCCAGAAGCCGCTTCAACCAGTTTGTCAATGCTTGGCATCGGATAACAATTATTGGGATAAGCTTGGTTGAGATTTGTGTAGTCGATGCACATTCACCATTTACCATTTGCCTTTTTGACCAACACCGGGTTGGCCACCCATTCGAAGTAATCAACTATTCTGACGAAACTAGTTTGTAGGAGCTTCTCTACCTTTTCTTTTATAACCTGAAGCCTCTCCCCCCCCAAAGAGACGTTGCTTTTGGGCTACTGGTTTCTTTAATGGATTAGTGCTAAGCTTGTGTTAAGATATCGAGGTTGGCATCCCCAGCATGTCTACTGAGATCCAAGTGAATACATCTTTGTTAGCTCGGAGGAGAGCTATGAGCTCTGCTCTATCCTTTGGGTTCAACCGAGTTCCAATTTGTGTCTTCCTGTTTGGATCTCTGTCATCAATTTGCACTTCCTCTACACACTCAACTGGGGTGGCTCTAGTTTCATCCTCTGGCCGGTTGTCTACTATCTCAACCCCCATTACCTACTGATTATTATGAACTGGTTGGGGAATGGTTTTTGCTGTCTGGTGTCTGATCTTTGCCTTTTTGAGGCCTTGTAACCGAGGTAATATAGCAATATCTAGCCACCTCCTGGTTACCTCGTAATGTTGCTATTCCCATGGGAGTTGGGAACTTCCTGCAAATGTGAGATTGAGAGACCACAGCTCGGATCTCGGTTAATGTGGGTCGTCCAATAACAACATTGAAAGAGGATGCCATTTTAACAATTAGAAACCGAACTGAAAGGGTAACATAAGTTCGGCCACTCCCAAAAGCAACGTTGAGAGTAAGGACTCCTTCTACCTGGATAGGTTGGTTATTGAATCCATAGATGGGACCATCGTACCTCTGCAACAAAGCTGGATCCAGCTCGAGACTCTCAAAACAATGAAAGTACATAATATTTAGTGCACTCCCTGTGTCAACAATGACACATTGTACTTCACAATTGTTAATCATGACGGAAGTGACCAATGGATCATTATGAGGTGTGACAACTATGTTGAAGTCAGTAGATATGAAAGTAATTGGTTGATTTTTCTGATCAGTATCGTCAAACTTTCGTTTCTGGGCTCGGTTTTGATGCTTCACCTCCCTAACATACAGTTTTCATTGTTTAGAGCTCAAACCCCATGCTTCTAAACCTCCCCTAATCATGTGCATAATTCTGGCTGGTGGTGGGAGTGAAGGTGTGAGGTTGGTTTTTATCTCTTCCTTTTGCATATTCAACATGAGGGAATAGATTTGGGATCTGAGGTGAGAGGTGAGATGGAAGGTTGTTGGGGAGTTGACCTTGTCTAAGAGGTTGAGATTGATTTCCAGCTCAGACTGATCGAGTGTTAACCATGATGAGAGAGCAACAAGAGAGCTTTCAGTTCGATTTCCACAGACGGTGTCAATGTAATTGTACCAAACCAGAGATCCTTCTTTAGTCCGCGTCTTCACTTCGGATGAACCTGCAAAATCCTGAGGTGGGTCCTCGGGGTAGACACTCCGATACTTAACTTAGTAATAATCGGATCTACCTCTAGACTAATGAAAAAGGCGCTTTTACATTGGTTTCAATTACCTTTTTGAGGTAGTCCCTGGAGATATTTATAGGCCTTCGTGAGATGTTCACGTGGCTTGCTTAACAGGATAATCGGAGTGTGACATGTCCCCTCAGGCGGTAATTTCGGGACTGAAAAATTGTGTGTGACAAATCAAGTGTGGACATGTCCACTATATTTATCAAGCCATTTGACCGAAAAGTGTTAGATTTAACTTTACTTTGGCTATTAAGGTATTGTAGCAGTATGTCCGAGATTAAGGACCTCGGATCCATCCTTACACTTGTATCCTATTTCTATATATTGAACCATTTCCGTTCCTAGGAATCCAAACCCATCTCCGAACAAACCAGGATCGGACTTCACAAAAATGGTGTTCACCGGACATGCTACTCCCGGCTGTCTCCCCAACATGAAGTCTTTCGCCATCCACATCCTCACTGGCCCATGGCTCATGGTATTCGGCTCACTCCT